ACACTGATTCTAAACCTTGTAAACATGGACAAGTCTGATTTGAAAGTGGCACAACTTAATCAGAGCATTCATTTGTGATAATGGTCATAACTGGAGAGGGAAAGAATTGAGATGCTATCCAAGTGAGTCCCATCATTTCCCCCCTGGTCTGGACAGAATCTCAGGCAGGAGTTCTCAAGGACAAGGCATCCATATTGGGATTCAGAGGGTGATTAGGTTTGGGCACCTAAGKGTTTTCCAGGTGGAGGAAATACATGGTGCGCAGAAATTCTGAACAAGATGGGAACATGGTGTGTGTTGAAGAAAATTTAACAGATTATTCAACTAAGAGAAGAGAGGTGAAAGAGACTGGAAGAGGGGAAAGTGAACATACTCAAGCTCACACCTAAATCTGCTGGGTTTTACACCTCCCCCACCCTGAGATCAGCACAGGAGAGAAAACTTGCTTCAGCAATAATTTCAAGTTTGTCAAGCAAAGGGTCAAGATGYGGTAATTTATATGGAAATATAGATTGGATATATATGGAATATAATATATGGAAATATAATATATATTTATTTATTTCCAAGTTGTGGATCTATTTAAGTACTGGTATTATTTCCAAGTTGAGGTTTCCATCAGAATTTTGAGGTCTGACGTCTATATTTAGGTTGGGGAAAAGTGKAACAAGAAGAGTGTACCTCTGTTGGGGGAGCTCTGAATGGAGTTGATGCTGGCAYCTGGGCAGGTAGAAAATGGTCCATGCTTGCGGTCACGCTGCCTAGTGYAGAACAGGAAGGATGAGTCTGATCCTCAGGCTTCTTAATTGTTTTGCTTCCAGAAATCTTATTCTTTTTGGTTTCAGTCTTTTCTAAGCTTTCTTTTTTTCTTTTCTGTAAATAGTTTAGTTTTCTTTCCTGTTAATGATTCTCAGCAGCAAATGAAGTAGAACACATTTTCATTATTAGGTAGTAGGTTGATTATAAATAAAAATGTTTTTGTAGGATCTGTAGAGTGCAGTCCATCCCCTGGACAGTTGTAAGACAGGGGCATAAACATTTTCATCAAAGGGAAAAGAAAGAGTTATAAACACCATTCCTCTAGTTACCTCTGTGGTAGAATGGGACTGACTTGGAATTAGAATTTTTTTTTTTTTTTGGTAAACATGGGCAAAGCATTTTTCTATCGATTTTCAAGTTAACACCTTTCTAAAGGGAATGAAGATATATTTATGTCATGTGGTCAATTATTAGGCAGATCGGTAACTTTAAAAACTTGATGGGAAACTAATGAATAACTGTCTGATAGACTGAATGGAAAAGCCATCGCAGTTCTTCTGGGGGACTTTGAGCACACTTACCTGAGATTCAGGACTCTTCATTGTGTCGCTGGTGATYGATGTACATGCGACAGGATCTACCTCTTGCTTCTTTTTCACTGGGGTTTTTGGTTTTACTGGGATAGAAATAATTCTCATCACAACAAATGCATTAAAAAGGAACCCATKTAAACCCAGGGCAGATGGGGTAGAATGGCTGAAGCAGTTTCCATACTATTGGCTCTAAGTTCCTGCTGTGGGGCTAGGTGGCTTGTGTCTATCTCTACTGCATTAGCTCAGCCTGGCTCAAGGAGACCAGCCATCATAACCCAGGCATCCCCTTCTGCTCCTCAAAGTTTTTTTGACTCATCCCCTGTGCAGTGTGCTAATCTACTTCCTGTCCTCTGATCTCCACACACTGCAGTCAAACCTTTTCCAATCCTGAACTCCTCCTATCTCCTTTGAAAAAGTCACAGTGTTCATGATGCTGACTGGTTGATTCTGTTTTTCATACAATACATTAAAGTTATAGAAACAAGTGAAAGGAAAGAGAGTATAGATTTTTGAAGTGAGATATGGTGATTGTGAACTTTGACTTTTTCGTTTTTATTTAATTACAAGACAAGAAGTTCATTAAGAGTGTTGCCTTATCTTTGTTACCGGAGAGAATGATGATGATGGTATAGTATTAATAAACTGGTTGCAATAATTGGTTAATGGTTATATATAAAATCTAAACCATGATTTTTATACTTTTGTTATTTTCTAAACTTTCTCAGTTAGTRTGCCCGAAACCTCTTTCATGAMCTTCTTTTAGCTTTTGTTTTTTATTYGTAACCCAAATATACATTCTCTTCTAAATTCACTCGACAGAGAATGCCCTGAGTTGTCCACTGGCTGGCATCTGAAGTACCAGCRTCGCTATGGCTTCTGAGACATAAACTGGGAAAGGGGTGTACCGACTTAGACCAAAGTGGGGTTTCATTCAAGGTCAGGCAAGGTGAGCACAAGTAGGGCAGTGTCAGGGAGAAAGTGCTGGGTTTCCAATTACCTTTCATCTTCTCTTTTTTGAGTTCTCCGGCAAGTTCTTCAAGCATCGGTATGTCTTTGAGCACTGATATCAGCTTGTTCAGCCCAGCATCATTTTGAAACTTGTCTTCCAACAAGTCAGCAATCTTAATTCTGTTGTACTCATCTTGCATTTTCCTAGTCAGTTTTAATTCTTTGGCCAGTAAGGACTTAACCATGYTAAAGTGATAATCACTGATGACCTCTAGTCCTTTCAGGAGAACAATTTTCTTGTATTCGTTCACCATTTCTCAAGTTATGGGTGAGCCTACGAGAGAAAATCAGCATAACAGTATTACATGTTCAAAAAGAAATTTCAAAAATGGGATATGCCTATGTGAGAAAATGGCCACAGGTGCATTCATAACAAAAAAGAAGTATAACCACCAGATATATCATTTGGGATACTGGTTGAGACTTGCTGCACTAGGGAAATCTAAAAAAGTTCTTTCCTATCAATGGGGATAGTTGAGTTGTGTCAAGAGTAGTTGTGGTGAAGGGGTATTTTGAAATGTCGATTGTTGTAATGCTTAGAATATGGGCTGTGTAGTGTTAGACTCAGGCTCAGCTATGGAACCAGGCTAGGTGTCTGTCAACAGATGAATGGAAAAAACAAATGTGATACACACACACACACACACACACACACACAGTGGAGTCTTACTCAGGCCATAAAGAATGAGATTATGTCATTTGCTTATACATGAATGGAATTGGAGAACATCATGCTAAGTGAAATAGGCCAGACTCAGACAGTCAGGAGCTCCAATGTTTTCTTTCATATGCATAAATTAGAGAGCAAACAGGGTCAATTAAAAATATATCTCATGAAAATAGAGGGAAGAACAGTATAGTAAAGTAAGGGGATCAAGGGGGAGGGAAGACAGGGGAGACAGGGGAGGTACTATGGGATGAAACTGATCAAATCATGCTGTATGCATATGTGAACATATAATGAGTCCTATTTTATAGATATCTGTGTGTGTGTTGTAGATGGACACGATGCCTTTATTTATTTATTTATTTATTTATTTATTTATTTATTTATTTATTTTTATGTGTTGCTGAGGATCAAACCCAGGGCCTTGCACATGTGAGGCAAACTCTCTACCACTGAGCCACAACCTCAACCCTAAGTTCTACTTTAATGTATAATTATAATGCACCAAATTTTAAAAAACTAAATGATGTTAGCAACTGATAAGCTAAAACATGTTTCTGGAATTTGTTGTTGTTGTTGTTCAACACCTTCATTTTTTATGTAAGTTTAAAATTATTTAAAATAAGGAGAATAAAGAGACAAAAATCAGACAAAACCAACCCCCCCCMMAAAAAAAGAAAAAAGAAATGCATGAAGTAATTTTTAATGGTGTTTCCCCAAAATTCCATATTTGGGAACTTGTCTGAAATACCAGAAAAAATGTGAAACCTGAAGTTGTGAATATGTGAGTTTACTTAAAAACAAAACAACAAAAACACTTAAAAAACATCTGATGTAAAGTAGCAAAAGTCCATGTGTAATAGTGTAAAATTCCACTTTAGTATAGTAGCCACATGTCTAGCTGCTAAGTATTAGTTCATTAGTTTAGTTAGTATTAGTATTAGTATTATTAGTATTATTATTAGTATTAGTTTCAGGAGGTGCTGCCAATCTAACTTGAAGGCAAAATAATTTTGAAACTGTAACTTCATAGGTAGCCAAAATGGAATTTTGAGTGACATTGATTAACACTGTTAACAATCAGAAGATTGGCAACACAAAAACACCTACCAAGCATGCTTTTGTAATAAATACCTAAGAAAGTAACTATRTGAGGAAAAAAAAAGTAGTCAAATATGCACATGCTAGAGAAAAATAGGGGAATAAAGGGGATTTCATGAAAATAGAAGGGAGCTCAGTGGAGCAGAGGAAGGGCATTGAGAGGGAGGGAGAAGGAACAGGAAAGAGGAGGAACTAACTACAAAATGCAATTGATCCAATCTTTCTATGTACATATATGAGCACACCACAGTGAATTTCACCTTCATGTATTTTCTATAAAGTACCAATTTAAAAATCTATAAGCAAATAGAGAAAAGAGTAGTAGAGTAGGGGGAGGGGAACAGGGAGGGAGGAGTAGACGGCAAGGAAGTACTGGGGACTGAAGTGGACCAAATTATATTCCATGTCTGTATGATTATGTTGAAATAAACCCCGGTATTATGTATAAATATAATGCAGTAATGAAAACTTAAAAAGTAAATGATGCAGTCTAAAAAATAAGAGCCCAAAACTAACTTGATCAGGTCTTTCAATGTGTAAAAATAAGACTGTGAACAAAGAGAAGAAAAAGAGGAAATAAATTAAAATGGTGGATTAAAATTAGTGTGAAATGAAGGACTTGAATGTTCACTAATGAAAGGAAAATGCAGATATAAATTTTAAAATATTGACAAAAGGAGAAGGAGGCATAGAACAAGTCTTATARTTTGAAATAATGGTGGCTGACTAGCCAAAATACATCATTTAAATTAATACACATTAAATGTTAAACCTGTGAAGAGATGAGTTTTCAAAACTTGAATTTAAAAAACGAAATCTATCTATAGATTGTAGACAAAAGCTCATTTAAAAATTCTTAAAATGTTGAAAAAAGTTTCATGATGCAAAYAGTATTTTTAAAGCAAGCAGTATATCTCTTTGTGTAGTTATAAATGGACCTTGATTGTAAGAACGGAAGTTTCATTAATGCTACAAGATTTAAGCCCAAGAAAAATAAAACAATTCTAATCACCTATTTACCTAATAGTAATAAATTTTTTTATTTGTTGTTWTTTGTTGTCACTATGTATTTCTTTTTATGACTATAAACAGTAATATGTAGCATATTTCTCTCTTTTTTTTCACTATGTATTTACATATGCAAAGTGAACAATAGACATTTAAGCTGAGCATGATGACCTGTGTCTATGGTCCCAGTGACTCAATAGGCTGAGTGGGGAGGATCACAGATTCAAAGCCAGCCTGGGCAACTGTAGTAAGACCGGGTCTCAAAATGCAAAATAAGAAAAGGCAGAGTGTATTTGGGTTCAACAGTACCAAAAAAAAAAAAAAAAAGACAACTATAAAAAAATTGAAAAATCATAATTGAAGTTTGATATTTTAGCTTATCTCTATTACTAAAAAGAGTAAAAAGTCAGAAAAAATAATTAATACAGTTAAGAAATCAAATAAAGTTTTAACAAACATTTACATAATTCTGAAACCCACATTAAAAATTTCACATGAATTTCCAAAATTGTTTATATACCAGGATCTGAAAAAAGATAATGCTTTCCAAATGTTACATATAAATTTTTTATTTAACAACTGTCTTTTGGTACATAAAAGATTTAATTGCTTTCAACCACACCTCTTTCATACAAACTCTCACAACTGAAGTTCACCTCTGACTTTGAAGAAAGCAGGGAGAAGTCCAAATATGACTAAAATACTATATTTAATGCCAGGATAGAGTAGAGATAACGTAAAAGTTAAATATGTTTATTAATATTAAGGTAGTATGCATTGCAATAACTGGTTATGAAATGGAGGCATTTTCTACTGTTTGTTCTTATGTTTTGTAAAAGTGGGATAGTACCATATAATCCAACTGTATGTTGAGATGTGTTTTTCCCTTAAAATCATTTCATGATAAGTTTTCATGTCACTATTTTGTCTTTTATTCAGGCCTGACAGGACAATGAAAGCCCTCTCTAATTATCAACTTATGCCAACAAATACTTAGAAAAATTATTTCACAATCTGTTATAATGAAAATGCACTTTGCTTTATTCAGGCCTCAGTGTTGGAGAATAAAGAGGTCTGTTATCTTTCTAAGTGAAGCATGAGAATCAATCCCTGCAGTTGTCCCTGTTCTCAGCATAACTGATCTCAGCCCTACTCCCCTCACCCCACCCCACCCCACCCCACCCGGAAGAGCCCAAACTGATTTCCTCTGGTGATCTTGTGATTTGGGGGAGGTGTCCAGATGGTCTCTATAGAAAGCACCGACAGGACTCACCTCCTCGGAAGTGTCTTCAGCAATAATCTACCTCTTGCGAGCTTCAGCAGGCGGCTGTTGTTTTGCTTGAGAAATAAGATTTCTTGAAATGTTAAGGAAATAAGATGTTTTCAAAGGTCACCAGGAGAAAAAAAGCCCTGGAGAGTCACTGAATAACTTGAGCAACACTGGGTGTCTCACACTGCACTCACAGCCCGGGACAGAAGAGATGAAGCACAACAAGGCTCCTCCTATCAATGCTCATAGCTTTCGATTTCCTCAGTCAGAGAAACTGAACTGTGTCCTTCCTGTAACGGCTTAGTAACCACAGAGAGCCAGAGCTCAGCTATGTTTACTTAAAAAAAAAAAAAAGAAGAAGGAAGGAAAACAAATATTTATAGTTGAAAGAAGAGGGACATTTGAACTTTCTGGTTTAGCAGACTAACACATGGGACAGGAGGCATAAAGTTCACTTAAATGAAGCTCAAATACCAAAGGGGACATGAAGGACCCAGTCACTTCTCCCTCTCCTCCTGCTCCCTGAATGACAGTAGCAGCAAGAGATCTTGATAGAGGTGTCTCTTGCTCTTGGGATGTTTTATAGATGTGCCAAAAAAGAATGKAAGGGAAGGGAAGAAGGGATGGGATGTCACTTACCCTGCTAGGCAGTCACCAGACAATTAGTGATTTTTATCATCCTTGAGTTACAATGTGTTTATCAGGTCCTTAATCACTTCTAGGCAGTCAGTGCTGTTCCAAAATTTGCAAGGCTTCATTGTTAAAATGATCTAAGCCATTTATTCACGGTTGAGAAACAAAAGAACTCCTAATATTAGACAAAATGTCAGAAAGAACCTGCACGATCCCCATCCTCCAAAGTACTTTTCCAAAGTCCCTGGAGAAGAGCTCCCACCAGGTTGAAACCATAATCCAGAAAATGCCAAGATTCTTCTAAGAGAGGATCTGGATCTAAGACAACAATTGCACAAGCAGAGCAATTGTAATGTCACAGAAAAAAAAAATGGGAGGGGAAATCTTGGGAGGTGTAGTTGAACCAGACTCTTCCGCCTGCTCTTTCTAAAGCCCAGAACAAAATCTGTTAGTATATGAGCCTGAACTTCCCAAGGTGATGCACGCATTCACTGTTATCTTTCATAAAAATCAACTTTGAGACATATTTATTTTCTTCGTATTTTTGTCAGATATTCCATGTGTAGAATTCTTCCTAGCTTTATTTAAAAATACTATTGTTGTTTACTTAGCTCTCTTTTTTAACATTGTAAGATGTAAATTTACATCACTTGTATTACTATTCTCTTTTTTTAGTATAGACACTTAGCGATTTTTCTTATTGGCGCTGCTTTTTCCTATGCTCTTTAAGTTTTGTGGGATGTGTATTTATTGCCCTTAATATTCTTTGGCATGTATTATTTTTAACTTACAGCTGATTTCAAGATATATGAGAATTTTCTAAATATTTGTCTTAACTTCTTAATCGGTCTTATAATTATGCAATCAACACTAAAATCACAAATATGGACTTTAATGAGACTCACTGTAGTTCCCTGCATACATTTCACTTTGATGTGCAGCTTATTTATTTATTTATTTTTGATACCAGGTATTGATCCCAGGGGTGCTTAACCACTGGGCCACCCCGCAGACCTTTTTTATATTTTATTTAGGGACAGGATCTGGCTGGGTACTTACGGCCTCACTAAATTGCTGAGGCTGGCTTTGAAATCTTGATCCCTCTGCCTCAGCCTAGGCCTCCCCAATTGCTGGGATTACAGACGTGTACTACTGCATCCAGTATCCCACCTATTTTTATAATGTTTTTCAAATGATAAGCAGGTCATCTATTTTGAAGATGGTGTAAAGATTTTTCAGTCTTCTTTCTTCTTATTCCATCTATCAGTATTGAGTTACAGGCTTTAAATATCTTAACTATGATCATTGATTTGTGTTCTACTCCATCTGATGTTGTTTGGTTTTGCTTTGTAATTGGGAAATCCCATCATTAGGTGCTTTTATGAATTGTTAGGACTTGGCAACAAATTCACTGAGGCATTTCCTTTTGGCATCGGTCTAAATCTAACTATTCTCTGACTCACGTCAGGACTTGATATGAGGCCTTCTTAAGGAGGATTTGAATAAATCCAAAGTTTTCTTAAACTCACTTGTTTGCAGGATTTCAGCTCTGACTCATGGTTGAGGCAGGTTTTAGGCTTTGCTTTCATGATAGTCTCTACTTTGCTGCTTGGCCCTTACTTCTACCATGTACTCTGGCATGCGGCTGGATAACAGGGGTGGTGTGTGTGTGTGTGTGTGTGTGTGTGTGTGTGTGTGTGCATTTGCTCTCTTGTTCCTGTGTTGTCTTCTCAACCCCACAGCAGCTGCTCCCTGGTGGGCCTCATGTTACTTCCCTCACATATGAACAACCCAATGTGTGGTGAATGGGCCACCCCGGCCTAGTTCCTTTCTGTCCAGGTATCTGCAAAGTGGAGCTCTGTCTATGTTCATGTATGTATTCCAAGTTTAAGAGAAAGAGTGCTAATTTGATCCAGTGACATTTTTCTGTGATGGTCTTTCTTTCTTCTTCTTTTTTTGGTGATACTGAGAATTGAATTCTACTGGGATAGCATTATACTACTGAGCCACACCCCAACCCTTTATCTATCTATCTATCTATCTATCTATCTATCTATCTATCTATCTATTTATTTATTTGTTGTAGATGGACACAATATCTTTTTTCATTTTTATGTAGTGCTGAGGATTGAACCAGTGCCTTGCATGTCAGGCAAGTGCTCTACCACTGAGCTATAACCCCAACCCCATCCCAAGCCCATTTTAAAATTTTTTGAGATAGGATCTCACTAAATTGCGGAGACTGGCTTTGAAAGTGTGTTCCTCTGCCTCAGCTTCCTGAGTGGCGAGGATTACAGCTTTGGCCAGTGCACCTGGCTCTCTTATGAGATTGTTAATAACATTCATCAAAAGGTAAATGTGAAGGAATGACCAAAGGCAGAAAGTCTATCAAGGAAATAAAAGCAAAAACTCTTCCAAACCCGGGGAAAGATAAATATCCAGATACAGGAAGTCAAAGAATACCAAACAGATTCAATCCAAACCTTACTACCCCTCAGCATATTATGATCAAATGTTACAAATGGACAAGGAGAGGATTCTAAAGCAAGAAAGTAGAAGCAAATAACATATAAAAGGCAGAGCACACTGGTGCACACCTGTAATCCCAGCAGTTTGGGAGGCTAAGACAGGAGGTCCGTGGGTTCAAAGCCAGCCTCAGCAACTTAGTGAGGCCCTCCCTGTCTCTAAATAAAATACGAAAAAAGGGCTGGGGATGTGGCTCAGTGGTTGAGTGCCCCTGAATTCAATACCCTGTACCAATACATAAATAAATAAATAGATAAGTAACATATAAAAGTTGTTCAATATACCTGGTGCCAAGACTTCTCAGCTGAGACCTTGCAGTCTGGGAAACAGGGGGTGATATATTCAGAATATTAATGGGGAAAATGCCACAAATACAGTCCTCAGCAAAAAACAACTGTTTATGTTTTTAAGTTGCATTTGCTTTTAAGTTATTCTCTTGTTTTAAGAACTGTCTCTATCTTTAGGCTCTTTGAGAGGACATTTCTTCTGGAAGCTTCTCAGCATTGGAAGTATGTACTGGAAAGAAGTGGTAGGAAGTGTAGGCAGGGTTCTCCTATTCTCCAAACTTATAGCTGGGAAGAAAAAAGATAAATATATCACCCATTAACCATAGTGTTGTAAGTGGTAGCAAACAAAAGCACATAGTCCTTCAGAAGTACGTCTGCTAGCCTGCGAGGAGATGTAGAGCAAAGTTCCCAGGAGGACATATGAACTCTGGGACACAGAGGATGGAGCGCTGACCAAGTTAGGAGATACCCAGTTAGAGTAAGTACCAGGGAAACCTCCAAGGAAAAGGAAACATGATGTGTCTGAAGAAATTTTAACAGGTAAATAAACAAGTGGGAATAAAGAGAAAGGACACTAATTAAAAGAAAGTTCCCTTGTGATCTTGTGGTTACAAACAGTGTACCCACATCTTCCTCTACAGAAATCTCACTTCATTGAAAGCTCTTTCACAGCAGTCTAGTCTTTGAGACATCTTCTTTTTTTTTTTAAAGAAATAAAAGGAATATCTGATAGAAATCTAAATCAGTCAAACTAAAGTCTGAATTGTAGGACGTTAGAATCTCATGTAAGGCTAAGAATGAAGTATTTTGAAAGAGAATCATGAAAAATGGTATTGATTTGGATCCCTTAGAAACTTGACTGAGGCTGGCTTCTTCATACTGTGAACCTGGTCTCTAGGAAACAATGCTGAGGCTCCTCCCGTCAATGTTCTTAGCCTTTTGTCAGAGATACTGAACTTTGACTTTCCTGTAAGTAATTTAGCACAATTGAAACCGTGATAGCAGGATYGTTATCTTTTTCGTTATAGCATGTCCATAAATGAATGATGGTCTGATAGTAGGACTTTATCAATCCGGGAGACTTAAGTGTCCCTTCATTGAAGACAAAATATCCAAGTGGAAAGGCAAGCCACCGGCCATTTCTTTCTCTTTCTTGTTTACAGAGTGTCAGTGGCCTGAAGAGAGGTTTCTATTTCTACCTGTACTTCAACATTATAGACAGCATTTTAAGATGCCAGGACTCCAGGATGGGGGAAGTCKGCTATGAAACTGCTTTTGGTTTAAATACTAAATGTCATCCTACTGACACACTGACATACCTCAAAGGTCATTATGAATATGTAAATCCTGACTCAAACCAATCAAGTTGGGCACTACTTGTCCTTAATGATGACTCCTGTTTTCTGCATTATTTATAAATAAGCTCATGTGGATAGTAAGCTCATATTACCATGGGAGTTTGGAAATTATAAAAAAGCAGAGAACTTCTAGAGGGTAGGGGGCCTGATAAATTATTTGCATTACAAGGTTTTCTCTGTGAGGTATAGTGACCCTCTCTGTAGTTCTGTAACCCTTAAGCGACAAGTAAAAGGCACCAGGCAGTGGAGAGTGTTGTGGTAACCTACCAGCTAATCTGCAAGCGGAAGGAGATCATGACAGGAAAAGAGGTTCCAAAGACAGCCAATGTAGGCGAGTGATCCAMGGCCATCTACAAGGAAGAAGTTGGTTGTCTTCCTCTAACCCAGCAGCACAGAGGAGAGAGTCA